GAAAGAGAAAGCTCACTACCGAACACATTCTATGAAGCCATCATAACCCTCATCCCAAAACCAGGCAGGGACTCATCAAAGAAAGAGAACTATAGACCCATTTCTTTGATGAACATTGATGTAAAACTTCTCAACAAAATTTTGGCCAACCGACTTCAACAATTCATCCAAAAAAATCATACACCACGATCAAACAGGATTCATTTCAGGGATGCAAAGCTGGTTCAACATACGCAAATCAATTAATATTATTCATCACATCAACAGGAGCAAGAATAAGAACCACATGGTTATCTCAATAGACGCAGAAAAAGCATTCGACAAGATCCAACACCCCTTTATGATGAAGGTTTTGGAAAAATTAGGAATCCATGGAACATTCCTCAATACAATAAAGGCTGTATATGACAAACCTACAGCCAGCATTATACTCAATGGTGAAAAACTAAAGCCATTTCCTCTTAACTCAGGAACAAGACAAGGATGCCCACTCTCTCCACTTCTCTTCAATCTAGTATTAGAATGCCTAGCTACAGCAATAAGACAAGATACAGACATAAAGGGGATCCAAATAGGGAAAGAAGAAATAAAACTCTCCCTCTTTGCAGATGACATGATCTTGTATTTAAAGAATCCCATAGACTCCACTCCCAAATTACTCAAGCTGATTCAAAACTTTGGCAAAGTAGTAGGTTATAAAATTAACCCCCCAAAATCAATGGCTTTTCTGTATGCCAACAATGAGAAAAGTGTGGCTGAAATTAGGAAAGCAACTCCATTTGTAATAGCCCCACAAAAAATAAAATACCTAGGAATTAACTTAACTAAAGAAGTGAAGGACCTCTATGATGAAAACTTTAAAATCTTGAAAGAGGAAATCAACACAGAACTTAAAAAATGGCAAAACCTCCCATGCTCCTGGATTGGAAAGATTAACATCGTGAAAATGGCAATACTTCCCAAGGCTATCTACAAATTCAATGCAATACCTATCAAAATTCCACCCTCATTCTTCAAGGAAATAGAAGAGGCAATCCAAAAATTCATATGGAACAATAAAAGACCCCAAATAGCAAAAATGCTCCTCAACGGAAAGAACACTGCTGGAGGAATATCAATACCAAATTTCAAACTCTACTATAAAGCCATAGTAATCAAAACAGCTTGGTATTGGCATAAGAACAGACCTCAGGACCAATGGAATAGAATTGAAAACCCAGAAATGAACCTACAGACCTATAGCCATCTAATCTTCCATAAGGGAGCTAAAACAATAGAATGGAAGACAGACAGCCTCTTCAGTAAATGGTGCTGGCAAAACTGGTTAACTACATGTAGAAAACTAAAGCTAGATCCTTATATATCACCCTGCACCAGAATCAACTCCAAATGGATCAAAGACCTTGAACTCAAAGCAGACACTCTGAAAACATTACAGGATGGAATAGGAGAAACCCTAGGTCTCCTTGGCTCAGGCTGAAATTTTCTGAATAGAGACCCGGAAACACAACAAATCAAAGAAAGGTTGGAAAAATGGGATTGCATAAGGTTGCAGAGCTTCTGCAGGGCAAATGGCATAGCTAGCAAGATCAATAGAAAGCCCACGGACTGGGAGAAGATCTTTACTAGCCATACAACGGACAAGGGTCTCATATCTAAAATATACTTGGAACTCAAAAAATTAAACCACCCAACAACAAATCCTCAAAGAAACAACTGCCCAATAAGTAAGTGGGCGAAAGACTTAAAGAGAAGCTTCTCTGAAGAAGAAAGAAGGATGGCCAATAGACACATGAAGAAATGTTCAACATCTCTAGCCATAAAAGAAATGCAAATCAAAACAACATTGAGATATCACCTCACTCCAGTTAGAACAGCAAAAATCAAGAACTCTAACAACAACAGATGCTGGAGGGGATGTGGACAGAAAGGAACCTTACTTCAATGTTGGTGGGAATGTAAACTTGTTCAACCACTTTGGAAAGCAGTATGGAGGTTCCTCAAAAGACCACATAGAACTCCCCTATGACCCAGCAATCCCACTTTTGGGCATTTACCCTAATGTTTACAAAAAAGACCACACTAAAGCTACCAGCACAACTATGTTTATTGCAGCATTATTTACCATAGCTAAGATATGGAACCAACCCAGATGCCCCTCAGTAGATGAATGGATCAAGAAAATGTGGTATATATACACAATGGAATTCTATGCCTCCATCAGAAAGAATGACATTTCCCCATTTGTTAGGAAATGGAAAGGCTTGGAAAAAAATTATATTAAGTGAAGTAAGCCAAGCCCAAAGAAACATAGGTCCCATGGTTTCCCTTATTTGCAATATCTAGTATAGGTATGAGTCAAGCGGAAAAAGTCAGATAATGTGATGTTAGGAAAACGAACCCTCAAATATGTATTTTAATGTTTTTGTTTCTTTCATGCATGTGTTTCTAACGCATTTATAAGATTATTTCTTTGTTGCTTTGTATGTCCCTCCCCCACAGTGTAACCCCCCGCTTTCACTATATTTGATGTCAGTATAACATGTGGAGGAGATGGGGACAAACAAGTCGTTTAAGGATTCAGGTGGACCTGTTGCAACAATGAGAAGTACAAAATGTCATGTCAAAACCAGCTTTACAATGTCGGTGTGGGGGGGGAGGGGGGGTATTATTTGGTGGGGGGGAGGGGGAAGGCTGGGAAGGGAGGTGAAGGGTAAACAAAGGAGGAGGCTGCAATGCTTGGTAAGAAATGTATGCATTATCCTGCCCATGTAATTGTAACCCCTCTGTACAGTATGTTCTCAAATAAAATAAAATTAAATTAAAAAAAAAAAAGTAACTAGAGCAAAAGTGATAGAGCACCTCCCTAGCCGTGAGTTCAGTAATGCAAAAAAAAAAAAAAAAAGCACAGACTAGTTTGAGAAATTTCAATTTTATTGATTTAAAACATGACTGTCCATGTAACAAATATAAAAATGCATTCAAATATTTAAGATAATTAAATATTTTTGTGACTTTACATGCTTCATGTAAAAATATTATAGATTCAAAGCAGTATTATAGTTGCTGCTGATTACCAATATTGATTTTGTATTTTCATCAGAATTTCTGGGATATTTCCAAGCAAACATATCAAGATGACAGAAATATAAAACATGACAATAGTTCTCTAAATAAGAGTAATTTGGGGTGAGAACAAGCAGTTGTCTAGAAATGCACAAACAAGCCACAGTGCACACTTAAGTTACATGGTTCTGAAAACTTAAACAATTCTTAAACTGTGCTTTTAAAATTAATACTTCTGCTTCAGGTGCTAGTTGCTCATGCTTGCAATCTGAGCTGCTCAGGCTGAGATCTGATGAATTAAGTTCAAAACCAGACCAGTGAGACTCCCTCACTCCAACTAACCAGCAAAAATTGGCTCGTGGTGACATCCAAACCATGACTGAACACATGGAGAGCATGAAGCCACATTCAAGCCCTTAGTACTAGCACTGGCAGCACCACTCACCCACACAAGAAAAATGCTCTGTGTATCTATCAGAATGCAGTACTAGTGATCTAGTGATAGAACCCAGAGTCTTGTGCATGCTACAATTCCCTGTTGCAGATGTTTAAAACAACCTGTATTTCAAGTACAGTCAGAGCTGGAGCTGTATTTATCTCAGTGGTACAGAATATGTTTAGCATCTGTGAAACTCCCCAGGTTCCAGAGTTGGGTTTGACCTCCAGCTCTGAATTAAAACAAAACACAGTAACAACCACAAAAACTAATCCAATTATTTCTCACTGTAACTACCTTCATTCCACCTAAAAGTACTAGTACAGTAGCCGGCTGGTGTGGGGCACAGGTGCTCTGGATGGTGTCTATGTGGGAATTTTCATTTTTATTTCTTCTAAGTGAAGCAGTTAGGATGGAGATTTGGTGCATGTGTACTGTACACATCTGTGGAGGAGAGGTCTTACACAGGAAGGTTCTTCTATAAAGTTCAAAGACTTTTTCCTCACCAAAAAGTAATTAGTCATGTTAACTAGAGAACAGCTGAAAAATACAGAAGAGTGGAAAAGAAAGCAAAAGTCACCGCACTCTTGTCACATAGACCTACCACTGGCAATACGATGGTGTATTTATTGCCTATCTTTTCTTTAAGCACACAAAAATATAATTATGTACATACAAAAAAGTGGTTATACTGTTAACAGCAACATTGTTAATGGCTTTTTTTTTTTTTTTTTTTGTCGGTCGTGGGGCTTGAACTCTGGGCCTGGGCGCTGTCCCTCAGCTCTTCAGCTCAAGGCGAGCGCTCTACCACTGGAGCTGCAGCGCCACTTCCGGTTTTCTGGTGGTTTATTGGAGATAGGAGTTTTACAGTCTCTCTTGCCCAGGCTGGCTTTGAACCGTGATCCTCAGATCTCAGCCTCCTGAGTAGCTGGTGAGCCACCAGCGCCTGGCTTGTTAATGGCTTTTTGCACTGAATAAAAAATATATTTTTTCTAGCCCTTATATATTTTAATTGCTGAAAACATTTTATTAAATGAATATGCTATAATTATAGCAATAGTGTTTATACATTCTATAATTTTTTTTAATCGGTCATGGGGCTTGAACTCTGGGCCTGGGCGCTGTCCCTGCGCTCTTCAGCTCAAGGCAAGTGCTCTACCACTTGAGCCAAAGCCCCACTTCCGGTTTTCTAGTAGTTTATTGGAGACAAGAGTCTCACAGACTTTCCTGCCCAGGCTGGCTTTGAACCACGATCCAAAGATTTCAGTCTCCTGAAGTAGCTGGGATTACAGGCATGAGCCACCAACGCCCAACTACATTCTATAATTTTGACATTGTCTTTTGTGCATTTATATTCACTTTGCATAAAACTATGGAAGCTATAAAATTGAAAATTTATTGACATCTGATATTGTCTGCATGCAGTTCACTTGGTACTGATCTTGAGATATTTTCCTAACCATTCAAAGGCTAGAGAACCAGCATGGTAGACACTGCATGAGGATGTTAAGGTCACATTTTAAGTGCCCATTTGTAAGCTGCAGATTTCCATATGAATTACACGTTGATGACTGAAGGTCTGCTTGTGAAGTTCACCTGCTGAACCCCTACAAGCTGTAAAACAGAGTTTATAGGTTTGTGATCCAACCTATTCTTATCACGATGTATAAAATGGATGTTGTTACCTAGAAGAGAATAAGATTAAAATGCTGAGGTTGCATATTAAGTATTATTCATTAGATTTATTGCTTATCGGAATGAAAGAAGCTTTTCAAATTTTAATTGGTCCAAAGGGACCAATATCATCTTCACTAGTGTCACAATAATTTTAAATTATGGCAATAAAGCATGACAAGAATAGAGTTAAATAAGTTATTTAATGCATTATGAGTTCTAATGGGAAAGATTCTTGAATTGTAACAGTGTGTTAGTCTTATTAAAAACAGTTGAATAAAATGTGCTGTCAAACGAGCAACATATGGAATGTAGATGTAAGCTCAAAAATTACATCTACCATTTAAATGGAAGAAATCACTTCCTTCAAAAAATACACTACCAGGGATAGAAGGCTTGTGTAGCACTCAGCTCCCTGGGTTTGATCCCTAGCACTACAAAACAAATGGAAGCAAAACAGGACAAATACTCCTAAAAACTTATTTACTTTGGTGCCAGTACTAGGGCTTGAATTCAGAGGCCTTGTGTTCTCATTTGGCTTTTTGCTTGTAGTTGGTACTCTTCTACCTCAGCCATGCTTTCAGTCCAACATTTTCTGTTGTTGTTGTTGGTCATGGGTCTTGAATTCTGGGCTTGGGCACTGTCCCTCAGCTCTTCAGCTCAAGGCCAGTGCTCTACCGCTTGAGCCATAAATCTACTGGTTTTCTAGTGGTTTAGTGGAGATAAGAGTCTCACGGACTTTTCTTCCCCGCGCTGGCTTTGAACCGTGATCCTCAGACCTCAGCCTCCTGAATAGCTAGGATTACAGGCGTGAGCCACCGGTGCCAGGCTCAGTCCAACATTTTGATGTCTACTTGGAAGCAGGGACTCTCAGATTTTTCTGTCCAGGCTGGCTTCAAACTAAGATTCTCCATGTCTCAATTTTATAAGTAGTTAGGATTATAGGTGTGTGCAGCTAGCACTTGGCTCCAAATACTGATTTATTAAGTTGTTTATAAACCTACCCCAAAACAGGTTAAAAAAATAAGGCATTAAGAAAGTCAGTTATTTACACTTAAAGGTTCACAATCCCTGTGTCTGCTCAAATAACTGACAATTACAGTTTATGTTCTGTTGTTTTTGATTCTTAGACTCAAAGCCAGATACTAACTATAGATTAAGTTGTATGTTTTCTTCATTGTATTCATTTGCCACCTATAGTAAATCACTAGATTGGATACCAGAAGTTGAGTTATGATCAAATAAGGCAAAATGAAATACTAGGTTAGCCAAGCTGCAGATTTGTGTACACATGTACTCTATTCTTTGGAGGGGTTACATTTTTTTCAATGTGTAGCACAAAGGATACAGATTTCTGTATACATGTACTCTGTTCTTTGGAGAAGTTACATTTTTTCAATGTGTAGCACAAATATATTCTCTTAAATATGTTTCCAATTTGGCAATCAAGTAGCCTACTCTAGGAACTAAGGTGGCTCAGGTGCTAAGTGGTTCAGAAACTTGGAGAGAAAGGACTCAAAACATAACCTCTTCTGTGGATAGACATTAGTCATTCAAAAATAAGCCTTTAGGGGCGGAGCATGTACTTCTGCAGTAGAGCACATGCATGGTATGCAGCAAGTTCTGAGTTCAAGTCCTAGGACTGCAAAAGGAAACAAAAACAAAATCCAGTTCTAACCCAGGGTATAGCGCAGAGCAAAAATGCTTGTGTGAGGCCTTGGATTCAATTGATACTACCAGACAAACCCCAAAATGCCTCAATAGCATTTGGGGCAAATCTGTTGGACTCATTCTCAAAGTTTAAATCATGCACTTAAGGCATCAACCCTATCCAAAAGGGCTTCTTTTAAAACTTGTGGACCCAGTATAAATTCATGAGAGGGAAGAAAAGGAAGATGATAGCTGCAAGCCAGGGCCTAGTGGCTCACGCCTCTAATCCTAGCTACTCAGGAGGCTGGGATCTGAGGATCCTGTTTCAAAGCTAGCCTAGGCAAGAAAGGCTGGTTAATCTTCAATTAACTAGCAAAAAGCTAGAAGTAGAGCTGTGGCTCAAGTGACAGAGTACTAGCCATTAAGTAAAAAAGCTAAAGGTCAATGTCTAGACCCCAGACTGTATGAATTTCCTAGTTTGTTAGGATGAAGAAAGGGCTTGATGATTCTCCCTTATTCAAAAGTGCCCACCTTCACTGAGCAATTGACGTATATATTTTTTGTGCTGAGTATAGAACCCATGGCTGCTGGCATGCTGAGCCTGTGCTCTCCTAAGAAGCAAGAGCCCTTAACCACTGAGCTTTGTAAAGGAGTGCAGTAAGTGTGATAGTCACATACCCATCACCAACTCACAGTTGGCTTTTCCTATCCCAAACTCCTGCACTCAGCCCAAGAATGATGAGCCCTCACTAGACATCAAAAAATGAACCTCTGGAGAAAAAAAGGGCCCTATGAAAACAGGCCCCTACTAGGTGTCAAGCTGCCCTTTTCTAACTTGTTATTTTTTGGTGCTGGTCTTGGGGCTTGAAGTCAGGGCCTGGGCACTGTCCCTGAGCTCCTTTTGTTCAAGGCTAGTGCACTGCCACTTGAGCCACAGCTCCACTTCCAGCTTTTTTGGTAGTCTCACAGACTTTCCTGCCTGGGGTGGATTCTACCTCAGCCTCCCGTGTAGCTAAAATTAGCAAGGTGCCCATTTTAATACAATATCTATGTTATGAAGAATGTGGGTGGTCTTTGGACTTGTAAAAGAAACCAGAAGTTTTAGATTTTTAAATTTTATTTTTATTTTGGTTTTGGTCTTGGGGCTTGAACTCAGTGCCTAGGTCCTGTCCCTGAGGTTTTTATGCTTATAGCTCATGCTCTACCACTTTGGGCCACAGTGCTATCTCTGGCTTTTTGATAGTTACAACTGGAAGGTAAGAGTCTCATAGACTTTACTGCCTGGGCTAGTTCTCAACTATGACCTTTAGATCTCAGCCTACTGAGTAGCTAGGATTACAGGCGTGAGCCACAGATACCCAGCTTGATTTTGATGCTCACTCACCTGGACCTAAAATGAGAGTTCCACCTTGCTGAGTAGGGTCTCCTTGGAAATCAAAAAGAGGGCTATTCACTGCTCGCCATAGGCTCCGAAGACTTCCCCAGAGCAGATTTGACTTTATGTGAGGGCTCTGTCCTAAAATATTGAAAACTGCTATTAGATATTATTTTATATTACACAAAATATTAAGATTATATTAATACTTCTAATCTTAATCTAATATTGGGATTATTGTGCTGTAATTCCAGTACTCAGGAGGTTGAGGCAGGAAGACCAGGAGTTCTAGGTCTGCCTGAGCTGCTTTCACAACTTAGTTGTCTCAAAAATACCAAAAAAATAAATTTAAAAAATGGTATTAAGCTAGAGCTCCCATAAGCAATTCTCCATGCTCCTTCTACATCCTAAGAGCCTTGGGTTGGCAAGAACAGAGGCACATGGTAGAAGAGGCCTGGGTCCTTGAACTACTACTTGGAGGTGTGGCACTTCAACAGATACACCATCTGGAAATGTATATGAACACATACCCATATCTACCATGTTATACTACCTGAGACTTTGGGGTTCTGCTATAACTTTGGCTACCTCCCCATGTTTCCCTCACCTACTTCTGTTTTCTACTCTGTTCTCAGTTTACTGGTCCTTCATTTCTACTCCTTTTGAACAGAGAATCAGTTTTTCACCTTTTTGTTGTTTTGTTTTTGTTGGCTGCGGGGCTTGAACTCAGGGCCTGGGTGTTGTCCCTGAGCTCTTTTGCTCAAGGCTAGTACTATACCACTTTGAGCTGCTGGTTTTCTGGTGGTTAATTGGAGATAAAGAGTCTCATGGGGACTTTTCTGCCTGGGCTGGCTTTGAAGTGGGATCCTCAGATCTCAGCCTCCTCAGTAGCTAGGATTACAGATGTGAGGAACAGGTGCCCAGCTCCACTTTTTTTTGTGTGTGCCTGTGCTAGGATTTGAACTCAGGGCCTGGGCACTCAACCATTTGAACTACAAACAGTTCCACTTCTGGCTTATTAGGTACTTAATTGGAGATGAGTCTCCTGACTTTCCTCACTGGGCTGGCTTTGAACAATGATCCTAAGATCTCAGCCTCCTGAGTTGCCAGGATTACAGGTGTGAGCCACTGGTGCCTTGCTCTCCATTACTTTTTTTTTTTGTCCTGGGGCTTGAACTCAGGCTCTGGACAGTATCCCTCAGCTTCTTTTGTTCAAGTGGTAGGCTAGTGCTCTACCACTTGAGCCACAGTTCCACTTCTGGCCTTTTCTGTGTATATAATATTGAAAAATCCAACCCAGGGTTTCATGCATGCTAGGCGAACACTCTACCACTAAGCCACATTCCCAGCCCCTCTCCACTACTCTTGTAACTTTTTTCCCCCATTCTTGCCTTGTCTGTGCCTTTTAATTCGATGACTATGTAGAAAAAACAAACTTAGACCCAAACTCAGTTTTTCCTATTGCACACTTGTAATATACAACACTTCTGACTTTAGATGTATAAGAGTTATTCTTCACATTGGCACAGTAACACCAGCTAGGTGTCCTCTAATTCAGTGCCATTATGACATCACCTACCTGATGATAACATCAGATTCCACAGATGAGGGTTTGGTCCTCAAGACTGCCCCCCACCCCAATTCAGATGACAGTCATAAACCCCAGAGTGTTTATCATAACTGTGTTTGTAGCTAAAATCCTGTGTTTGTGGTTAAACAACCCCCTCTTTGGGTTCCATTAATCTGCTTAAGTGACGTACAGAATTTCAAGAAACATTTATATCTACCAGTTTGTTATACAGAAAATTAAAAGAGCTACAGATGACTAGGCAGGTATAGGGGAGGGCAAAGAGCCTTCATGCTCTCTGGGCATGCTGCCCTCCGATCATTCCTCTCTGTTCTGCTCTCTGAAAGACCCTGCCCTTCTGGGTTTTTATAAATACTTCACTGTGTAAGCATGAACAATCATGTGGAAACGTGACTGGATAAAGAAGGCTGAAGCTGATACTTGGTAAGTGGAGAACAAACCCTGCAAGGCTCATCTGCTCAGATGCCTTTGGCCTGTGGGGCTGACCCTCCTGGGTACTGGCAGGCAGGACTCCTGAGATGTGGGTCTTATGATCTGCTATCAAATAAGCAGGTCAGAGAATTTTTTCATGGCCAGAAGGCCAGGGGAAAGATTATGTTTTTAGTTTCCATGTCCTGCCTTGGAGAAGTGAAGTTCAGTTTCTATAGTCTGCCCTTTGGAGGTAGTTATGAGATGGGAACTATAGGTAAAAAGCAAAATAAGCCAGGTGCCGGTGGCTCTCATCTATAATCCTACCTACTCAGGAGGCTGAGATCTGGAAGATGAAGTGTCAAAGCCTCTCTAGGCAGAAAAGTCCGGATATATTATCATCTCCAACTCACTGACAAAAAGCTGGACTACTGTTGTGTCTCAAGTGGTAAGAGTACCAGCGGGGTGAAAAAGCAGAGAAGAAGCATGAGGCCCGAGTACTGGCACAGAAAATAAAAAATCCAAAAAAACCACACACACACACACACACACACACACACACACACACACACACACACACACACACACACACACACACACACACACACACACACACACACACACACACAGTATCACAGTGGAGTACTGGCACAGAAAATAAAAAATCCAACCCCCCCCCCCACACACACAGTATCACAGTGACTATGCAGCCTTAACTTGTCTGGATTTCTAACTTGCCAGGGCTGGCTTTCAGCCATGGTCCTCAGATCTCAGCCTCCTGAGTAGCTAGGGTTACAGGTGTGAGCCACTAGCATCCAGCTTTGCATTCTTTTTTTTTTTTTTTTTTTGGGTCCGGTCGTGGGGCCTGAACTCTGGCCTTGGCGCTGTCCCTCAGCTCTTCAGCTCAAGGCTAGCGCTCTACCACTTGAGCCACAGTGCCACTTCCGGCTTTTTTTTTTCTTTTTGCTTATGTGGTGCTGAATCAAACCCAGGGCCTCATGCCTGCAAGACAAGCGCTCTACCACTGAGCCACCTTCCTAGCCCCCCAGCTTTGCATTCTTAGTATTTCCAAATATCCTTTGCTTCTCTTCTCTCCAACTCTTATAATTCTTTCATGTTTCTATAAGGATGAGTATCCAACTTTCCACAGGATAAATTCAAGCTAAGATAAAGACTGTGTTTTACTGTTTTATAGGATTCTATAGCTGCACTAACTGTTCAAGAATTCAGATTATCTCCTTATGTCTTTTTTTTTTGTGGGGGGGGCTCGGTCATAGGGTTTGAACTCAGGGTCTGGGGCTATCCCTCAGCTATATTTTTGCTCAAAGCTAATGCTGTACCACTTTAAGCCACAGCACCACTTTCAGGTTTCTGTTGGTTAATTGGAGGTAAAAGTCTCATGAACTTTCTTTCCCAGGCTGGCTTAGAACAGTGATTCTCAGACCTTAGCCTCCTGAGTAGCTAGGATTACAGGCCTGAGAACACCAGCAGCCCAGCTTAGGTTATATACTGGATCAGAAATTTCAGAAACCTAGGTAAAGAAACGTCATGGCTTAAGAGCTGAACATTCTCTGTTGTCAATTACTATCTAATTTTCTCCTTTTGCCAGTTTGAATTTAGTTCTTTTTTTTTTCTTTTTCTTTTGGGCTGGTCCTGGCTTGAACTCAGGGTCTGGGTGCTGTGCCTAAGCTTCTTTCACTCAGCTACAACTATACCACTTGAGCCACAGTGCCACTTCCAGCTTTTCTGAGTAGTTTATTGGAGATGAGTCTCATGGACTTTTCTGCCTGGCCTGGCTTCAAACTCAAACCGAGATCCTCAGATCTTTGCCTCCTGAGTATCTAGGATTACATGTGTGAGCTACAGGGGCACAGCCTGAATTAGTTCTTATGTGTGAAACTGTTTTTCATGTTTGCACAAACAAATCAGTCTCTCCCCTTTATAGGCTATATTTTCTTATTCTTTGCCTTTATAAAAATGGGTACAATTAATCTTAAATTATAATTAAAAATTATGAGACTATTCTGAGAATGATTCTAAATTTCATGCTTTGTTGGGAGAAAACTTTAAAAATGCTTGTGAGACGCCAGGTACAGGTGGCTCATACCTGTAATTCTAGCTACTCAGACTGAGATGTGAGGACCACAGTTTGAAGCCAGCCGGGGCAGGAAAGTTTTTGAGATTCTTATTTCCACTAAACTACCAAAAAAGCTGAAAGTGGAGGCGTGGCTCTCAGAGCAAAGGAAGTTCAGGCATAGTGCCCAGGCCCTGAGTTTAAGCCCCAGGACCAGCACACACACATACACAAAAATGCTTATGAGAATCTAATATTTGCTGTCTAAAATTATTTTAACATTATAAAACAAAAAATGCTACGTAGTCAAATGTAGTTATATATACTCTATGTAATACATGCCTTATATATAATATTGTATAATTACAGATTATATGTAGATACAGATATATATAATATACAAATTATATAATTGCATTAATAGCTGTATATTACATACAGTATATGTATTACATTATACATTATATATAGTATGGAAAGTATATTTAAAATAAAGATTCAAATATACCTTCATAATTACAAGCATGTTTTTGGTTTTCTTTGCATATCTTTATTTGGCAATGAATGAAGTGTTACTGAAGAAGAGAAATTCACAGTTTCTATCTAAAGTGCTAAATGATCAAAAGAACTTACACATGTGGGACTCTGTTACAGCACTTGAACACAGTATAACAAAAAGTAGGGTTCTAATATGTTCTGTTACAATTTCTTCTGCTAGTGGAGAAACAAAACTCTTGATTTTGCTAGCTCATCATCACTTTAATAAAGGCTGCTTTGTTTTAAACATCAGCAAAAGGAGACAATCAACTTCATAACTAGACCAGGTCCATCTCTACTTCAGGTACAAGATAAGGCTTTCAAGCTGACTGTACACAGCACTGGCTCTGCTTTCTTCCAAGGTCAGTCTGTCAGTACACTGCATATGTGAATGTCTCACCATATGACTGCTCCCATTAACTTCAGCATAAACCTAAACTCTCTGGCATGTCGTACAGATTCAGGGTCAATCAGCCCAAACCTATCTCTTGGCGCACACCAATTTCCCAACTGGCTTCTAGATTTCAATCAAGCAGGGACCTGTACTTTTCTAAAGAGTCACGTGGACAATGCCTTGTCCACGGCATTCTTCTACACCTTCACCAGCGAACTCCTTCCAAACTGACCCTACTGGAGTAAACTTCCCATCACTCCTGATCTGCCAGCCCCCTCCATCACTAGCCACAAGCCCTTATAGAAAAGCCTCTGAAAGATAGGGGCCATGTCTTTTATCAGTCTTTCCAAAATATCTAACATAGTGGGTGTCACAGACAAGACCTCAATACTATTTCTTTTTCTTTCTTTCTTTCTTTCTTTTTTTTTTTTTTTTGTCAGTTGTGGGGCTTGAACTCTGGGCCTGGGCGCTGTCCCTCAGCTCTTCAGCTCAAGGCAAGTGCTCTACCACTTGAGCCACAGCACCACTTCCAGTTTTCGGGTGGTTTATTGGAGATAAGAGTCTAATACACTTCTTGCCCAGGCTGGCTTTGAACCATCACCCTCAGATCTCAGCCTCCTGAGTAGCTAGATGACAGGCGTGAGCCACCAGCACCTGGCAAGACCTTAATAATATTTCTGATAATCATTCATCTGAGTTTGAACTCTCTTATTTGGCATTTCAGACACCAAGTGATTCCCAAACAAAACAGCCATAAACAACATACATAAACTAAAGCTCTATCGATCACAAGAAAGTGTAAGAAGGACAAGAAATGTGGACAATATTAAGATGAATGAAGCTCCTCAGCTACACAATACATAGTCAAGTACAGGGGGAAACTATTCCTTCCACCTGCTTGAAGAGCACCTAACTAAAAGCATTTCTGGGTTGGGTTTCAAATGATTAAGTAGGAGTTCTTCAGTTAAAGGACAAAGTATCAAAAGGCACAATGATGAGGTATGAAAATATGAATCATGTGTGTGTTTGTGTTTATATGTGCGTGTTTTCAAGCCCCAGGGGCTTGAACTCAAGAGTTGGGTTACGGTCCCTCAGTTTCTTTTGCTCAAGGGTAGCACTCTACCACTCGAGTCACAGTTCTATTTTATAAAGAGTTTCACAGACTCTCCTATCCATGCTGGCTTCAAACCGTGATCCTCAGTAGCTAGGCATGAGCCACCCACCTCGAGCTTAATATTATTATTATAATTTTTGTCTGTCATGGGGCTTGAACTCAGGCCCTAGGCGCTCTTTTGCTCAAGGCTAGCACTCTACCATTTTAAGCCACGGCGCCATGTCCAGTATTTTGGTGGTTAGTTGGTGGTAAGAGTTTCAGAGGGACTTTTCTGCCTGAGCTGGCTTGAAACTATGATCCTCAGATCTCAGCTTCCTGAGTAGCTAGGGTTACAGGTGTGAGCTGCTGATGCCTGGCATTACTTTTACTTTTACTCAAATAATTATAGGATTGGGAACACGGCTCGAGTAGAATAGCACCTGTTGTGCTGCATAAAGCCTCAAGTTCAAACTTTGGTATCACAAAAATACAATAGTTATAGAAAGCATGAAGGCTAGGGGTGTGGCTCACTGGTAGAATGTTTGCTGCCTAGCATATGTGAGGCCCTTAAAAAATGAAGGGTCAATTTTAAAAACCTTTTCATTATTTATACACACACAGATTACAAACTTTTACGTTTACAACATTTTGTTTTCATAAAATGGAATCACCCTAAAAAACAATGCTTTGCAACTTGCTTTTTTCCCATTCAATAGTATTCCATTTCTCATGTCATTTGCAGTGGCTTGGAAATATCCCAAGAAGGTGCTTGAGCTGAAGGCTTAGACCCTATGTACTGATGGAACCTCCAGGAAGAAGGGCTTTAGAGTGCATTTGAAGGAGACATTGGGACTTTGGCCCGTCTTTTCACCTCTTGACTCTCAAGAGGTGAAAAACCCTTCCCCTTCACATGCTCACTATACCTTGCCACAGACTCAAAAGCAATAAAGCCAACTAACCATGGGCTGAACCCTCGAGCCAAAATGAACCTTTTCTCCTCATTAAGTCTCAGATGTTCTGTCACAGAATAGGAAAGGGACTAACATATCATTATACCTAGTGGCATATCTGAATCAATTATTAGACCCTAATAACAGAGTCTGATTTATAAATCTTCTACTTATACGCTAACATGTAAGCAGAAAACAACACTAGCTTCTTTTATCTGTCTTACCTGAGGAGGCAATTTCTTCCCCTCTTTTCATTCCCAATCTCTTATATATTTCTCTCTCAGGATCAACATAGATTTCATGAGAATATCCAGTCAGTTTGCAGAAAGGCTGAAGAGAGTTGGAAATGTTATGAGTAAAGTAATACTAATCAAATAGTAGTTAGTGATAAACAATCTAGCTTTACCCACCCAATGGTTCAAATAATGCAATTTTTATATTTGAAACAGATTCAACCTATTTTCTCATCAATTTGCAAGATATTTACCTCAATATGATGGTAGGATGCCTGTCCAATCACTATAAGGGTGACATCTGCTTCCTTTAGGAGAAAAAGAGAATGTACATATTACTTCTCCTAATCCAGCTTTTTTTGTTTCATTCTAATGTCACATATAGGTTTCTAGAAGAATGAAAAAAACAGTGAAAGCATATTATTCAAAGCATACAGAGAAATGTTTGCTTACACAGAAATTTTTGCTAAAATGTTTACTTCACAGAAAGAATCCCAATACTTAAACATTGAGACCTAAACCTGTAAAACAATTAGAAGAAAACAGGGAAACAGCTCGATGATACTGGCTTTGGCAATGATTTCTTGGATATAATCCCTAAAACACAGGCAACAAAACCATAAACAGACAAGCAAGATTACATCAAATTAAAAAACTTGTGTACACAAAGGAAATGAGAGTGAAAAAGACATCGCATAGATTAGGGGAAAATAGTATGTAAAGAGATTAAAAATTTAAAAAACAATTACAACAATTTTGAATGAAAGTCTAAAAATGGACAAAGCCAGGTATAATAAGACAAATACTGCATAATCGTACTATATATGGAATCAAACTTTCATAAGTGAGAGAACAGTGGCTGGGGGTGGGGGGAGGGGAAAGGGGAAAGGGGATGGGGGAAAGGGGATAGGAGATGTTGCTTCAAGGATAAGAAAAGTTTTAGTTTGAAGAGTTTTAGAAATCTGCCAACAGCATGGTGACATAAGTAATACTGAATATTTTCAATTGCTAAAAAATAGATTTTAAGTGTTAAAGATATATGAAGTAGTAGCTTAACATTATAATTCTATAATGTTAAAATATATTAAAACAGGGCTGGGAAGATGGCTCAGTGGTAGAGCGCTTGCCTTGCATGCCTGAGGCCCTGGGTTCGATTCCTCAGCACCACATAAAGCAAAAAGAAAAAAGCTGGAAGTGGCGCTGTGGCTCAAGTGGTAGAGCGCTAGCCTTGAGCTGAAGAGCTGAGGGACAGCGCCCAGGCCCAGAATTCAGGCCCCATGACCGGACTCCAAAAAAAAAAATATATATATCAAAACATTATCCCATAAACAAAAAGACAAAACGGACATTCAGAAAAAAATTTTTTTTTCTTCAAGCCAGGTATAGTGGTACATACCTGTAATTTGAGCAGGAGGACCTCAAAACCAAGGCCAGTTTAGGCTACCTAATGAGATCCCCTCTCAAAATTTCTTTCTCCAAAAAGCTAGTCAATAATTTACTACACTTGCCCTAAAGACATACATAAGAAGAAAAACTACAAAAGTGGGGCTGGGTGACAGTGGCCCAGGCCTATAATACTATCTTCAGACAGCTCAGATCTGAGGACTCAACTTGAAGCCAGCCAGAACAGGAAAGTCTTGAGACTCTTATCTCTAACAAGCAAAAAATTCAGAAGTAGAGTTATGGCTCAAGTGATAGAACCCTAGTCTTAAGCAAAAATGCCCAGGGACAGTCCCCAGGCTCTGAGTTCAAGTACCAGTACACGCACACGTCCCACAAAAGTAGGGTTAATCAATTTTATTTTTTCACATCCCAATTGATGATGGAAACATTAAGTTTTACAAAGGCTGCCCAATGTCTTCACTTGAAACCTTTGCTGAGGTTGAACAAAGCTATCTTTGCTAGAAGAAAAACACTTAGGGACAGAATCTACTGCAAGATATCTTTAAGACCGATGACTATTTTCTAATAATGAAAAACTATTTGGAGTCATCTGCCCTAAAGACTCAGGTCTGTGATCTTATTTACTCTGGAGTCTCAGATGTGAAGACCATGCTTTGAAGTAAACCTAGCGGGGAAAGTCCATGAAACCCTAATAAAAAAACCACCGAAAAAGCCAGAAGTGGACGGATGACTCAAGTAGTAGAGTGCTGGCCTTGAGCAAAAAAGCTAAGGGACAGTGCCCAGGCCCTGATGTAAGCCTCAGTACCTGCACAAAACAAAAACAAAAAACTGGAGAGTAACATAAAATAAAAGGAAGTTTTGGGTGTGTGTTTGGTGGCATTGCACAAATTTGCAAACAGGCAGTTAACTAAGTAACATCAAAAGTATGAATTACTATAGTACTTTCACAACAGATGGCAACCATCATTAGGGCAGGAATGGGTTGCTGACCTGTGTCTCAGTTCTGGAGGGGGATCTGGGGTGTGTGTGCCCGCCCCAGTGCACCTCACCGCTCAGGGCCGACAAATGACCAGTGACCTTCATGAGGCTGCCTAGGAACAGATCACTGCCTCCCCCTCCTCCCCCTCAGAGAACTTACCTGTAAGAAGCTCCTGGGGATTTTGGCCAGGTCTTCCACATACTCTTTGCAGATGTAACACAGGAAATGCTGAAACCCAACAAGGGCAAAGGGCAAGTGAGCGAGATTCCACGCTCCCCAAGCTGAGCAACACCCAAAGGCCCCGAAAATGAGGTGCCAGGGAGCGACAGTGATGGAAGGGTGACATCAGTGCAGAAGTGAGGTGGGAGGGTGACGTCAGTGCAGAAGTGAGGTGGGAGGGTGACGTCAGTGGAGAGGTGAGGTGGGAGGGTGACGTCAGTGGAGAGGTGAGGTGGAGGGTGACATCAGTGCAGAAGTGAGGTGGGAGGGTGACGTCAGTGCAGAAGTGAGGTGGGAGGATGACGTCAGTGGAGAGGTGAGGTGGGAGGGTGACGTCAGTGGAGAGGAGAGGTGGAGGGTGACGTCAGTGGAGAGGTGAGGTGGGAGGGTGACGTCAGTGGAGAGGTGAGGTGGGAGGGTGACAGAAGTGGAGAGGTGAGGTGGAGGGTGACATCAGTGGAGAGGTGAGGTGGGAGGGTGACGTCAGTGGAGAGGTGAGGTGAAGGGTGACGTCAGTGGAGAGGTGAGGTGGGAGGGTGACGTCAGTGGAGAGGTGAGGTGGAGGGTGACGTCAGTGGGGAGGTGAGGTGGGAGGGTGACGTCAGTGTAGAGGTGAGGTGGGAGGGTGACGTCAGTGGGGAGGTGAGGTGGAGGGTGACGTCAGTGGAGAAGCAATGTCTGGTGGCGGCCCCTTTGTCTCAGCAGTGATAACGGATAGAAAGCAGGCCTCGGGCCTCCCAGCCTCCCAAGGAGGAAGGAGGCAAAGCCCTGGAGGGAAAGGCCACCGCTGGGCCACGCTCCCCCACCCCGGGTGCGGGGGACCCCCGTTATCCCGGCACTCCCGCTCCCCACGGCCCCCGGCAATCCCGCCCCTCCACGGCCCCCGGCAATCCCGCCCCTCCACGGCCCCCGGCAATCCGGGCACTCCCGCTCCCCACAGCCCCCGGCAATCCCGCCGCCCCGCACCCCTCGCCCACCTGCAGCCGGGATGCGGACGCCCCTCCTTCCCAGCCAGCGGGTGCGGGCCCACCCCGGGAGTCGGCGGCCACACTTACCCGCACAAAGACCACCACGGCCCGGCGCTCCCGGAACAGCGCGCCGAACGGTATGGGCTCCCCGGCGGCGTCCAGCACCGGCAGCCCGGCCACGGCGTCCGCCAGGGGCTGCCCGCACTCGGAGCCGGCTGGAGCTGGGGTCGCCGCACAGCCGCTGACCTGCCGCGTAATCGGAGCGGCCATCCCCGCCAGTCGCTGAGCGTCCAGGACCGCTTCCTCCCCACACGCACCGGGCGGACTGCGGGCGCCTCGGCCAGGCCGGGCGGCGGCGGCGGCGGCGGCGGCGGCGGCGGCGGCGGGGCCTCGAGGGGCGGGGCATCCGGGGGCGGGGCTGAGAGCCTGATTGGAGGGAAGTGGGGTTGGGCCTCGGGGGGCGGGGCATCCGGGGGCTGGGCTGGAAGCCTGGTTGGAGGGAACGGGGGCGGAGCCTAATGGGAAGGGCGGGCCTAGTGAAGGGGCGGGCGGAACGGTAGAGGAAGGAAACAGGCCAGAGGAGTGGGGCCTCGCGGGGCCGGGCGGGGCCGGGCGGGGAGGAGGGGGTGGAAACGGGGCGGGAGGAGCGTGGCCGGCAGGCAGAGCCTGCGCTGTGAACCTAGAGCGGACCTGAGCCTGGTGGGGGACGGGCTCGTGGGGCCGGGTCAGCTGTGGCCCGCGCTCGGGAGGGGGCCGCTCCCGACGCCCGTCCCCTCCGTCCCCTCCCGTCCCCTCCGTCCCCCCGTCCCCCGCTCCTCCGTCCCCCCGTCCCCCCCCCGTTCCCCCGTCCCCTCCCGTCCCCCGTCCCCCGCTCCTCCGTCCCCCCGTCCCCCCCCCCCGTTCCCCCGTCCCCTCCCTTCCCCCCCCCGTCCCCCGTTCCCCCGTCCCCTCCCTTCCCCCCCCCCCGTCCCCCGTTCCCCGCTCCTCCGTCCCCCCGTCCCCCGTTCCCCGTCCCCCCGTCCCTCGCCCCTCCGTCCCTCGTCCCCCCCACCCTCCGTTCCCCCGGAGGTGAGGTCAGGGAATCTGCCCAGTTGTCCTCCTGCGTAGCGTACGGGATGGTGGGCGCAGCGGTTCAGGATGGGACGAGGGAGCAGTCCATTGGGGGCCTTGTGGAAAACGCCAGCCCTCTCCAAGTCCCGGTAGCTCGCCCCGCCCTGCGGGTCACACGCCAGCTCAACTCAGGCCCGGCCCCAGCCCGGGTCCCGCCCCGCGCTCCTGCCCGCCCCGAGCTCCGCCCCGCCCCACCCGGTTCCGCCCCACCCGGGTCCTGCCCCGCCCTCCTGCCCGCCCCGAGCTCCGCCCCGCCCTCTTGCCCGCCCCGAGCTCCTGCCCGCCCCGAGCTCCTGCCCGCCCCGAGCTCCGCCCCACCCGGTTCCGCCCCGCGCTCCTGCCCGTCCCGTGCTCCGCCCCACCCGGTTCCGCCCCACCAAGGTCCGGGCCCACGCTCCTGCCCGCCCCGCCCTCCTGCCCGCCCCGAGCTCCGCCCCGCCCTCCTGCCCGCCCCGAGCTCCGCCCCGCCCTCCTGCCCGCCCCGAGCTCCGCCCCGCCCTCCTGCCCGCCCCGCCCTCCTGCCCGCCCCGCCCTCCTGCCCGCCCCGAGCTCCGCCCCGCCCTCCTGCCCGCCCCGAGCTCCGCCCCGCCCTCCTGCCCGCCCCGAGCTCCGCCCCGCCCTCCTGCCCGCTCCGAGCTCCGCCCCGCCCTCCTGCCCGCTCCGAGCTCCGCCCCGCCCTCCTGCCCGCCCCGTCCTCCTGCCCGCCCCGCCCTCCTGCCCGCCCCGAGCTCCGCCCCGCCTCCTGCCCGCTCCGAGCTCCGCCCCGCCCTCCTGCCCGCCCCGAGCTCCGCCCGGCCCTCCTGCCCGCCCCGAGCTCCGCCCGGCCCTCCTGCCCGCCCCGAGCTCCGCCCCGCCTCCTGCCCGCCCCGAGCTCCGCCCCGCCCTCCTGCCCGCCCCGCCCTCCTGCCCGCCCCGCCCTCCTGCCCGCCCCGCCCTCCTGCCCGCCCCGAGCTCCGCCCCGCCTCCTGCCCGCCCCGCCTCCTGCCCGCCCCGAGCTCCGCCCCGCCCTCCTGCCCGCCCCGCCCTCCTGCCCGCCCCGCCCTCCTGCCCGCCCCGCCCTCCTGCCCGCCCCGAGCTCCGCCCCGCCCCGCCCTCCTGCCCGCCCCGAGCTCCGCCCCGCCCCGCCCTCCTGCCCGCCCCGAGCTCCGCCCCGCCCTCCTGCCCGCCCCGCCCTCCTGCCCGCCCCGAGCTCCGCCCCGCCCCGCTCCGGCCCCGGGTCCGTCCAGGACTCTGGCCCCGCCCCCTCCCTGCTCCGGCCCCGCCCCGCCCCGAGCCCCGCCCCCTCCCTGCCCCGCCCCGCCCCGCTCCGAGCGTGGGGGCGGGGGCGGGGGCCGCGGCCCGGGTTGCTCAGTGAGGGGCCCCAGCCCGGCGCGGGGGAGACCTGCGTGCTCCGGGCTCGCGGCCCGAGGCCGCTCTGACCGCTGGAGCCGCTGGCCAGCCTGGCGGGCTGGAGTCGGGACCCCGGCCCGCGGCTCATTCCCCCACCGAGTAAAGACCGACAGAGCTCAGCCAGACCCCGACGCCCCCCTGGAAGAGGCCTAGACAGGCAGCCGGCCGCCAGCGGCGGCCCTGGTCGGCCCTGGGCCCCGAACTCGGGCCCGGCTCCGCGCTCCGCTTCTCCGCTCCTCGCGGGCCGCCACCGCTGGAGCCTCCGCGCGGCTTCCGGCTGCCTGGAGGTTGATGGGAGCTGTGCGGCCCGCGCTGGCTTTGAACCGCGGCCCGCGGATCTCGGCCTCCGAGTGGCGCCCGCTCCCGTCCTCCTCCTGCCGTGACCGTCATCGATCCGTGGTGCTCCCGCTCCCGTCCTCCTCCTGCCGTGACCGTCATCGATCCGTGGTGCTCCCGCTCCCGTCCTCCTCCTGCCGTGACCGTCATCGATCCGTGGTGCTCCCGCTCCCGTCCTCCTCCTGCCGTGACCGTCATCGATCCGTGGTGCTCCCGCTCCCGTCCTCCTCCTGCCGTGACCGTCATCGATCCGTGGTGCTCCCGCTCCCGTCCTCCTCCTGCCGTGACCGTCATCGATCCGTGGTGCTCCCGCTCCCGTCCTCCTCCTGCCGTGACCGTCAGCGCATCGCGGGCAAACACCCTATGCAATAATGTGCAGCCGGCTGCCCCTGTGGAGCCGCGCGGCGGCGGCCTTTCACTGGAGGACGGCGGTGGGACCCCTGCGGGCTTCGCTTTGCTGCCAGTGCAAGCCAGGCTGCAGAGCGCAACAACCTTGCGTCACAAACACATCATCTTGAGCAGGTCCGCATGACCAAGACTGTTGATGCTTGTCACAGCGCTGCATCCAGTGTCATGGAATCAGTGTCTTCTGGGCCACTTTCCCTCTGGAGGAACAAGGCACAGTGTGTTCTAGGTCTTAGTTTCTTTTTTCATTTTTGAGGGTGGAACTAAGTGATTTTTATTGAATTACATAAAAGATGTATATTGTTGCGTTATCCAGGCCTTCAGCTCTAAAAGGACTTGCCTCAGAGATGTAGTTGTTTCTTAAACTTTGAATTTAGCATAGTGCTTAGAAAAGAGAATGCAGAGTGATAGCTACCCACAGGCAACCTTAGAGACGCTCAGCCTCATCAGAGTTAAGGTACGGCTCTCATTATTAGGAAGTTCAAGCTGTAGCTAAGTGTTTATAGACTCTCTCTTCTATTTGCATCTCTATCAGAGGGATCTATCTAATGTGCTCCACCTCCTAGAAGATTGCTTTCCACAGAGAATGGAGCATCCAGGTACCTGCTGGTTAAACAGGAGTTAGGGTGCCAGACTGGAAAGCAGTGCTGAGTATGCATGCCCAGTGTTTAGTGAGAACAGCCACCAGCACAGTCACATCAAAGTGAGGCACGCCGAGGGACAGAGGAACCTGCTGCGCTGGGCAGATATTACTGATGGCACATCTCCTCTCCCGTCAGGAAGGAGGCCTGAAACAGTTTCTTGGTGATGGAAACACAGGGGAAGTAAGAGAAATGCTAGCCATGAGGTCAGGTAGGTCTTAGTTTCCAAACCTGAGAGCGAGGTCTCTACAGAGGATAGGTTCTAGGTGCATTTCTACACCCAATTTCCCCCCCTTTAGGGGCACAATAACAGCAGGAACTGGAGTTGATCTCCTGCCAAGAGTCCAGTTCCATGTAAGGTCACATTCACAGGTACCAGGTGATGAGAGCATCCATATATGAACTTTGGGAACACAACCCATTACAATGTTCCTGCCTCTGCCAGCAGCCTCTACCTCCCTATTTGACCTCACTATTGATGGGGCTCCCCATCTCCTTCCTGCGCCCAGCAGATCACTGCTGGCCCTGACTGCTGGCTTGAGCTGACACTGAGAATTCACTGAGAGCTGGTGTAGGGGGAAGGGTCTCCTAGACTGTTAAGGTCCCAGACTGTGTGAGGAAAACTAAGCCGAGAAATTGATCCTTTACTAAAAACAAAGAGAGGCCATGAAGGGAGATCTTAAAGCTTATTTCACATGGACTTCTGCCCTATGTCATACCCTGCCCAATTAGAACGGTGCCTGCCGTGCAACGTTGTGCATCCCACCCCGTGATCGATTGCCTCCTGCTTCAAGGGAGTCGATGCCTCTGTGTGCACATTGTGTATCCTCCTGTAGCTATCTCTGTAATAAAGCTCCTGTAGCTGTCTTTGTAACAGCCCCCAGCTTCAAGGATGCAGGGCTATATGACATCATGTTTCCAGAATATACAAACCAATATATACAAAAGAATATCCACCTGCTTTGTGTGGGGACCCCAAATTTGCCCGCCAATTCAAGCCAGAAGGATAGGTTAGTTCAAACAGTTCCTAGGAGTCGGACTGTAACCTATTGGCCACGGACATAAACATGCAACCCTTATGTGGTGTTACAATCCTGTTGGCCACCTGTGTGTGGCCAGGCTGGACCATGTGGATGTTGCCTTTAAAAACCCTAGCTTGTGGGTTGTTCGGGGTCGCAGTTTCAGCTCCTGAGTCTGTGCTGTGTCCCTGGCCGGTTAGCTCTCCACTTCCCCAATAAAGTCATCTTTTTACGTGAGGCTGTCTGAGCAGTGGACTCCTTTCCCTGTAACACTGGGTCAAGACTGCTCTGGGGTTCGGACACTACAGTTTGCAGCAGGATCAGACAGGCTAGTCTGTCTCTGGCACTGAGGTTTTGGGACACTTCATCAGGGCTTCAAGTTTTACAGTGTCCTGGGCAGAAGTAGCTGCAGCTACAGGCTAGGAGGAGGAGCGGAGCTCTGCAGGGGT